GGGGGTGGTGTAGGTGGTGGTGGAGGCAGTGGAGGGGGTGGGGGTGGTGGTGGGAGTGGTGGTGGGGGTGGAGGTGTCGGTGGCAGCAGTGGAGGCGGAGGAGGCGGCAGTGGTGGCGGAGGGAGCGGAGGCGGCGGAGGTGGCGGAGGCGGCGGAGGTGGCGGAGGCGGCGGAGGTGGCGGAGGTGACGGCGGCAGCGGTGGAGCTGGTCGCGGCCCTGCGCAGAGGAGTGGGTCCGGTGGTGGTCCGCGCCAGCAGCAGCAGTGCAGTCGTGAGACCTTGGCCCCTCAGCAGCTTCATGAGTGGTACGCTACGCGTCAGCGCGGTGGGGGTACTGGTCCCTGCACCTACGTCCTCCGTACCGGCGACCGTGCTGGTGAGCAGTGCAAGGGCACGCACTCCACCTAGCGCTGCTTCGGTCGCCTGACGGACGCGTGGCGTCACCAGTTCCCTGAGGCCTCTGAAATCCATTGCTGGGGAGAGATGTCGAGGGCGGGGGTTGCTATCTTTGATCTTGATTATGATGCTATTCTTGCTGCCATGTATGATGTGTCTGATAGTGCTGAGGGTGACTGTTACCTGTGTGTTCCGCCTAACCCGGGCATTGACGCTACTGCTCTAGGTGCTGGTGAGGCTGCTGCTCTAGGTGCTAGTGCGTCTGCTGCTCCAGGTGCTGGTGAGTCTGCTCTCTCAGGTACCACGTCGGCTTAGGCCTTACACACCTTCACCCTTGACTCGGGTGCTTCCCGTTCCTTCTTTTGAGACCGCACCACACTTACGCCGCTTAGTCGACCGGTTGCAGTCTCCCTGGTGGACCCCTCTGGGGGTCCTGTCCTTGCTAGCTTCTTCACTGTCTTACCGTGCCCGGCAGCCCCCTCTGGCACCTTGTCCGGTCTCTACCTCCCCTCGTTCTCTACGAACTTGGTGAGTGGAGGTGACCTACAGGATAGGGGGGTTGACCAGTTCACTCTTGCGAGTCAGCGGGTGACCAACTGCACGTGTGCTCGGACACGCCGACACTTGGCCACGTTCACCCGTCAGCCGGAGTCGAGCCTCTACACACTTACTGCTGAGTCTCCTCCGGCTGCTGAGTCTGGTCAGGTAGCTGCGTCGAGTCAGGTGTTTGCTGCAGCGTCCAGGTCTGGTCCTAAGTTTGCTCCCTGCTCGTGTCATCTCCTGTCCCACCAGACGCTCCTTTGGCACCACCGCCTTGGTCACCCCTCCCTGCCTCGTCTCCGAGGCATGGCCTCCCGTGTCCTTGTCTCTGGTCTTCCCCGGTCTCTCCCTCCCCTACCTCCGGGGCCCGCCCCTACCTACGTCCCCTGCGTCGAGGGGCAACAGAGTGCCGCACCTCACTCCTCTGAGTTTTCTCCGACAGAGGCTTCGCTGCAGACTCTTCACATGGACATGTGGGGCCCCGCCCGCGTCCGTGGCCAGGGGCACGAGCGTTACTTCCTGTTGGTGGTTGACGACTACTCGCGTTACACCATAGTCTTCCCGTTGCGCAACAAGGGTGATGTCACTGAGGTGTTGATCGACTGGATCCGCGCAGCTCGTCTCCAGCTCAGAGAGAGTTTCGGCTCGGACCTTCCTGTTCTGCGTCTGCACTCTGACAGAGGCGGGGAGTTTTCCTGTGCCCGTCTGGGAGCCTTCTGTCAAGCACACGGCATCCGCCAGACCTTCACGCTTCCGGCCTCTCCACAGCAAAATGGGATTGCTGAGCGCCGCATTGGCATGGTCATGGACGTCGCTCGTACGTCCATGATCCATGCGGTTGCCCCCCATTTTTTGTGGCCATTTGCGGTTCAGTACGCAGCGCATCAGCTCAACCTCCACCCCCGGGTCTCCTTGCCAGAGACCTCCCCCACCCTGCGGTGGACGGGGAAGGTTGGCGATGCATCTGCGTTTCGGGTCTGGGGATCTCGGGCGTTTGTTCGCGACTTGTCTGCGAACAAGCTGTCCTCCCGTGCTGTTCCCTGCGTCTTCCTTGGCTTCCCCCCTGTCGCGCCTGGGTGGCAGTTTTACCACCCCACCTCGCACCGTGTTCTATCCTCCCAGGACGTCACCTTTGACGAGTCGGTGCCCTACTACCGTCTCTTCCCCTACCGCACTGCGCCCCTCCCCCCGCCGCCGCTCTTCCTTGCGCCAGGTCCTCCCCCGGGAGACCCCCCCCCCCCCCCTCAGGGTCCTGCCCCGTCAGGTGTGTCCCAGGTAGATGCAGTCAAGCCTGTCGAGGTAGCTGTTGACTCTGGTGCTGCTAGAGGTGCTGAGCCTGCGGGTGCCGGGTGTGGGGGTGCTGAGCCTGACGGTGCGGAGCCTAGGGCTGCTGAGTCCAGGGGTGCGGAGCGTGGGGATGCTGAGCCTGGGGGTGCTGAGTCTGGGGGTGCTGAGCTTGAGGGTTCTGAGTCTAGGGATGCTGAGCATGGGGGTGCTGGGTCTGCTCGTGTGGCCTCGCGAGGTACTTCTTCGAGGCGGGAGCCACCCTCTCTGCAAGAGCTGCGCGAGTGGTTTGCCCAGCCCTGGAGCTGTCCTATTGGAGCTGGAGGTACTACTGTTGCTGCAGGTCCCAGCGGGGCTTGTCCTGGCGGTTCTGGAGCTGCTGGGACTGGGGGTACTGCTGGAGCTACTAGCGGTACTGGAGCTACCGGTCTTACTGGAGTTGGTGCTGCTGGAGCTGCTGGAGCTGGAGCTGCTGGGATTGTTGGCGCTGGTGGTTCTGCTAGCGCTGGTGATTCTGAGGGTGCTGGAGTTGGCGCTGTTGGAGCTGGAGGTGCTGCTCGCGCTGGTGCTGCCGCTGGGGGTACTGGTGCTGTCCCTACTGGTTTTAGAGGCGCTGCGCGTCCGAGGCCGTACTTCGTTCCGCTACTTGAGCAGGTTCTTGGTCTTCCGCCTTCTACTGGTCCTGCCCCTCCCTTAGAGTGTCCACAACTTGTCTAGTCGCAGTCACAGTTACAGCCCGCCTCCCCCCTGCTTGCTCCTTCTCCCTACACTGGTTCTACTAGAGGTCTTGCTAAGCGTCGTGAGCCTGCGTCTCGTCCTGCATCACCTGTTCGTGCTGCTCGCACTAGTGGTCGTACTATGCGTCCGGGTCCTCCTGCGGTCCCAGGCACACACCAGATGGCACTGTGTCCTTCCACTGCTCCTCTGCGTATCCCGTTGCCGTCTCCTCGAGAGTCCTCTCTTCCTGTCCTTGCTGACCTGGAGTCTGACTCGCTTCGTGCTGCCAGTCCTACTGTCACGCGTCTCCTGGCTACTGTTTTCATTGACCCTTCCTTTGAGTCCACTGCTGCGTCTGCCGTGGTTGCTGAGCTTGTCGACTTTGCTGCTCGCTGTCGTCTAGACTACGCTGCTAGTCTTGTTGCTGAGTGTATGTCTGTCCTCCGTCCGTCAGGGGTGAGTGTGCTCTTAGCACGGACGTCCTTGAGAACAGGCAGGAGGAGTTCCAGTGTTTTGCTGCTGCTTTGCATCATCTCGTGTCCACGCTGATTGCCCCTGGGGGAGACTCGGATGCACAAGACTTCCCGACTCCTCGATCGTACGCTGAGGCGATCGCGGGGGCCATGGCTGCACAGGAGCTACGCTGGCTCGCATACCTGCTGACTAAACCTAGGAGAGCAGCCTCGTTCTCCTCCAGTTCTGTACGTAGACAACAAGGCCATGCTGGCCTTGTGTCGGGAGCACAGACTGGAGCACAGAACGAAGCACATTGCTCTCCGCTACTTCCTTGCTCGTGAGCTGCAGCAGCATGGTCAGCTGCATCTTGCTTACGTGGCCTCTGAGGCCAACACTACTGATATCTTCACCAAAGCCCTTCCACCTTGTGATCATCAGCGCTTCTGTACGATGCTAGGTCTTGTGCCTTCTTGGCCTTACTTGCTCACTTCTTGACCTTGCTTGTACTGTGATCTTTCTGTATCTGCACTTGCTTGTTTACGTTTATATATGATCTTGCATGTGAACTGGCCTTGTGGCCTTGCTCTTGTGCTCGGATTGTGTGGTGACGTTGTGATCCACCCTGAGCTTGCTTTGCTTTGCTTGACTGGTCTTGTGCCCTCTTGTTCTCCCCCACTTTGCCTATGGGGGTGTGTCAAACTCATATCATATAGTTTGTCTAGGCTATAGTGGGGTAGATACTATGGGGTACAGTTTCCTCGGGTTTCCTACTTTTACCCAACCTTGTGCTAGTTCATTGATTACTCATTCTTCACAGGTATCGGTCGATCGGCCTTTAAGTACGGTACTGTTAGGGCGCGTGGCCCCTACGGTATATCACCTCCTGTTTTAGAGCTTATTATTGATTTATTAACTGCCGTTTGTGTTTTTCTCTTTTTGTTTCTTCATTCCGACATGTTGTGTGAACAATTTGTTTTCATTGAATGGGGTTATCATGTTTACTCCCTTATGGTGGCATCGTGCTTCACTTACACCGTATGGTCCGAGTGATTATCACAGGTGTGCTTTGAGTATATACCAATGTGGTACAATCTATGAGAGCACATGGGCCTACCGTATGGATGCCATATCGGTACATGAGGAATACGCTCTAAAAGCGCGGTACAATGATCTAGAGTGATTTGCACTTCAAACATGCATTTTGTCAACCTAAAAGGTTTCCTCACGCAATCCAGCCAAATCTATGCATTGTGAAACTAAAGCTTGTTAGCATCAAGCTGTAACATGTATTTCACTACAAGTAACATTCCAACTCTCCCCCAGAAAGCTCAGGATCCTTTGCCCTTAAAGCCCGTAGCTAAAATAGTGCCCCCCCCTCCCCCTTCTAGTTGGATCCATTTGAAGGATCAAGTTCTTTTAAAACGTTTTGAGAGGTTGAAGTGCTATAAGTTTTGTTTTTTCACCCCCAGTCGAGTCTCGATGTGAAGGGGAAAATTTGGAACTTTTCCACAAGTCTGATTGGCGGCGACTTTCAATCACTTGCCTGTGCGAATTTGGCGCAAGTTTGCAATACTATGTATTTAGACAAGGAGTCGTCATACTTCACATCAAGCAACAATACTGGCAAAATCCTCATTCAAGGGCATATGCATGAGATGACAGTGAAACACCATAAAGGTTGTTCGATAAGCTAGCAGAGATGCGGAAAAGGTGTTTCCTTGGACTTGTAGTCGAGGCGATAGAACAGGGAGTTGAGAAAAAAAGAACGAACGGAAAAAATTTTGATGAACACGGCGAGGAACGATGGGATAAGAGGGGAGAGAGGCAAAACGACGGCATAGGAAGGGGAGAGAGGCGGAACGACGGGACGGAAGGGGAGAGAGACGGAACGACGGGATGAGAAGGGGAGAGAGGAGGAACGACGGGATGGGAAGGGGAGAGAGGAGGAACGACGGGACGGGAAGGGAGAGAGGAGGAACGGTACGGGACGGGACGAGAATGTGCGATCGCGAATGGTAGGGGAGGGAGGAACGTGAGCGCGATGGCGAGGGGAGGGAGGAACGTGAGCGCGATGGCGAGGGGAGGGAGGAACGTGAGCGCGATGGCGAGGGGAGGGAGGAACGTGAGCGCGATGGCGAGGGGAGGGAGGAACGAGAGCGCGATGGCGAAGGGAGGGAGGAACGTGAGCGAGATAGCGAGGGGAGGGAGGAACGTGAGCGCGATGGCGAGGGGAGGGAGGAACGTGAGCGCGATGGCAAGGGGAGGGAGGAACGTGAGCGCGATGGCGAGGGGAGGGAGGAACGTGAGCGCGAAGGCGAGGAGAGGGAGGAACGTGAGCGCGATGGCGAGGGGAGGGAGGAACGTGAGCGCGATGGCTGTGAAGAAATGAGGAATGAAGAAGAGAGGAGGGGTTCACTAGCAAACATTGGGATACATATAGAAAACCCTAAAAGGGTTGTACTCACTATAGAGTACCCCACTACAGACTAGAGAACCATAATATTTTGACACACCCCCATAGTCAAAGTGGGGTGTAATCAGCACAACAAGCAAAGCAGAACAAGCTCAGGGTGGATTACAATGTCACCACACATTCTGAGCACAAGTACAAGAAGCAACAGTTTAAAGTTCACAAATGTAAGCAATGCTAGAGGCTATCGCAAAGGGCAAGTGTGGAGGAGGAGGGACTATGAGAGGAGAGGAGGTAGTGGGCGGCAGCTGAAGCTGCTGGCACACGGCGCAACTGGAGCAACTGGCACACGGGCAACTGGAGCAACTGGCACACTGGCGACTGGAGCAACTGGCACACGGGCTACTGGAGTAACTGGCTCCGCGGCTAACTCTGAGCGGCAGGAGCAACGGACTCACGGGCGTCTGGAGCAACGGGCTCACGAGCGACTGGCGCAACGGGCTCACGGGCGACTGGCGCAACGGTCTCACGGGCGACTGGAGCTGCGGGCTTCACGGCGGCCACCCCCTTCAAACTCCCCAAACTATCCCACCCCCCATTTCACACACCCACTACTGCAACCCTAGGTTCACTCACACCCCACCCCCTAGCACCACTCCGTCGACTCCCACACACCCACCCTCCTCAGCAGCAGCTGCAGCAGTGGGAGACAGAGGAGGAGGAGCAAGGGAGACCACACACCCGCCACCCCCTACTCGCCACCCCCAGACCCTAACACAGGGCAGGGCGGGACGGCGGGTAGGGAGGTTACGGGGGGGGGCGACGCGCGGCCTTCCAGGGCGCCAAAACAGGCGGCAGAAGGGGCGGCGCTCGCCCCCCCCCCCCCCCCCCGGTCGCCCGGCCCCCTCAGGTCGCCTCGACAGGCGACGGGAAAAGAGGGGGGGGGGGGGTGGTGCACGGGTCCCCGGTGCGCCGCGCCAGGCGACAAAGCATGGCTGGGGCAGGGCCGGGGCAGGGTCGGGGCAGAGCCGGGGCAGGGCCTCGATAGGGGCAACGACGGGGCCGCTAGAGGCGGCAACGGGGCCGCGAAGAGCGGCAACGGGGCCGCTAGGGGCGGCGACGAGACCGCGAAGGGCGGCGACGTGGCCGCAAAGGGCGGCGACGGGGCCGCGAAGGGCGGCGACGGGGTCGTTAGGGGCGGCGACGGGACCGCTAGGGGCGGCGACGGGACCGCTAGGGGCGGCGACTGGACCGCTAGGGGCGGCGACGGGGCCGCAAAGGGGCCGCAAGGGACCTAGAAGGGCGGCGACGCGCCGCGAAGGGGCTGCGAGGGGCCGAGAACGGCGGCGACGCGGCCGTGAAGGGGCTGCGAGAGGCCTAGAAGGGCGGCAACGGGGCCGCGAAGGGGCCGCGAGGGGCCTAGAAGGGCGGCGACGGGGCCGCGAAGAGTAGCGCGAGGGGCACGACACGGGGCGTGCAGTACACAGAGTAGCAGCGGAAGCAGTTAGGTGGGCCCATAGGCCAGGAGCGTAGATGCTCTGATAGCATGTCAAGAAATGAGGAATGAAGAAGAGAGGAGGGGTTCACTAGCAAACATTGGGATACATATAGGAAACCCTAATTGGGTTGAACTCACTATAGAGTACCCCACTGTAGACTAGAGAAACATAATATTCTGACAATGGCGAGGGGAGGGAGGAACATGAGCGAGAGCGACGGGAAGGGATGGGAGAGAGCGAGAGCGACGGGTGTTAGAATCTAGAGACAGTAATGGATCAACAATGGAAGAGTTGGGTACAAGTATGAAACCCTAAAAGGGGTTGTACCCCATATTGGCTACCCCACTACATCCTACACATATGTAACATGCATATACTTTGACACACCCCCATAGGCAAAGCGGGGAAGAACAAGGGGTCACAAGACCAGTCAAGAGAAGCAAAGCAAGCTCATGGTGGATCACAACGTCACCACACACACTGAGCACAAGCAAAGGGCCACAAGGCCAGTTCACATGCAGAGGTATATATGCAACAACAACAGCACAGTGATCTCTACCTAGCAAAGCAAGCATGCCGGTATATATAGATCACGGTACAAGCACAGTCTACAGCAACTGAGGAAACGTGGGCACAAGGCCTAACAAAGTACAAAAACGTTGATGATCACCAGACGAAAGTGCCTTGGTGAATATATCAGCAGTGTTGGCCCAAGTGGCCACGTGAGCAAGACGAAGCTGACCATGCTGCTGCAACTCTCGAGCAAGGAAGTAACGCAGAGCGATGTGCTTCGTTCTGTGCTCCAGTCTGTGCTCCCGACATAAGGCAATGGCGGCCTTGTTGTTGACGTACAGCACTGGAGGAGAACGAGGCCGCTCTCCCTGGTCGGTCAGCAGGTAGGTGAGCCAGCGGAGCTCCTGTGCAGCCATGGCTGTGGCGTAGATCTCAGCCTCACAACTGGAGCCGAGAATAGACGACGAGCGTGTAGACCGCCAAGAAACAGAGCTAGAGCCAAGGCTGAAGGTGTAACCCTGTGACGACCGCTGCGTAGCCTGGTCGTCAACCCAAGAAGCGTCCGAGTGCCCAATGAGGACAACGTCGCCCCGTCCTCCAAGCACGAGCCCCATGCCTGATGTACTACACAAGTAGCGCAGTACCCTCTTAGCAGCATCCATGTGCACCTTTCAGTGCCTACCAGGAGCCACGTAGCGAGCCAGAAGGCCAAGAGGCTACGCAAGGTCAGGACGAGTGCAGGTCATCAGGTACATGAGGCAGCCCACTAGCTCTGGGTAAGGACCACTCGGCTCTACGGACTCGTCCGAAGGTGGAGCTGAGAGCGAGTGACCTGTAGCCAGAGGAGTGTGCTGTGGCGAGGACCAGGTGAAGCCGAAGTGCCGAAGGACCTGCTGCACCATGTGTGACTGAGTCAGTGTGATGGTGCGGTGTGCTCTGTCTCGGCTGATCTGCAAGCCAAGGTAATTGCGCAGCTCACCCAGGTCTGTGCACGTGTGTCTCTTCTGCATCTCCAACTTCACCAGGGCGAGAGCCTCAGTGTCAGCAGTGGCAAAGATCAAGTTGTCGACGTACACGAGGATGTAGAGCGGCGGCAGGGAAGTGTCAGTGCGCAGAAACAGCGACGGGTCAGCAGTCGACGGAGCAAACCCAAGAGCAGCAAGTGTCATCCTTAGTGTGTCGTGCCACTCACGTGGCGCCTGGCGGAGACCGTAGACCGGCCGCCGGAGGCTCCACTGGGTACCAGGAGGGAACGACCCAATGAAGCCAGGAGGGTGGCGCAGCCAGATCTCCTCGTGCAGGCTGCCTTGCAAGAAAGCTGTGCTGAAGTCAAGAGAGTGAAGCTCGTAGTCACGTTGAGCGGCAACGTGTAGCAGCACCCGAAGAGTGGTCATCTTCAGGGTGGGAGAGAAGGTCCGGAAGAAGTCAACTCCCTCTCGCTGACTGAAACCTTGAGCAACGTAACGAGCCTAGAAGACAGGCAGAGAACCTGGTGGCCGCTTCACCCTGAAATCCACATGCCATCGACGATGTTCGCCCCATGAGGGAGAACCTTGTCAACGTAAGTGCCTGTGGACTTCCATGATGCCATCTTTGCATCCATGGCTGTCTGCCACTGAGAGGAGTACTCACCCGCAATCGCCTCAGCGTAAGAGCACGGGGTCGGGATGTCTGGAGCATCCGGGTCTCCCTCAGGGGCAAGCAGCATGGACACGAGATGAGGCGCAGCGGCTGCAAGACACTTAAGGTCCTCCTGCCTGTCCTCAAAGACGTCCGTGCCAAGAGCATACTCACCCCCGACGGACGGAGGACAGAGAGACTCAGGCTCAGCAACAAGACTAGCGGCGTAGTCTAGACGACAGGCAGCAGCAAAGTCAACAAGCTCAGCGACTAAGGCAGACGCAGCAGCAGACTCAAACGGCGGGTCAGTGGCAGCAGTGGCTAGTAGACGCGTAACAGTAGGGTGAGTAGCATGAGCGCGGTCAGACTCAGGCTCTGAAATGTCAGGTAGAGAAGACGCAGGCGGGGACGGCAGGGGAACACGCTGCGGAGCAGAGGAAGGACGCAGGGCCATGAGGTGTGTGCCGAGGACAGCCAGCGGACGCTCACGAGGAACACGACGACCAGTACGACCAGTGCGGACAATGCGAACGGGCAAGATAGGACAAGACGCAGGCTCACGGCACTCAGCAAGACCGCCTGTCAGCTCAGTGTAAGGAGAAGAAGCAAGCAGTGGTGAGTCAGGCTGTAACGGAAGACCAGTAGAAGACGGGAGGCCAAGAACCTAGCGAAGCACGGAGCCAGGCGGTGGCAGAGACGAAGGTGACGGCAGAGCGAGGAACAGTCACGGCGGCGCAGTGCCACCAGCACCTGTAGCTCCAACACCTCTTGCAGCTCCAAAACCTCCAGCGCCAGCACCCGCAGCAGCTCCAGAACCTCCAGCTCCGGCGCCACCAGCACCAGCACCTCCAACAGCTCTAGAACCTTCAGCGCCAGCACCCGCAGCAGCTCCAGAACCTCCAGCTCCAGCGCCACCAGTAGTAACACCCCCAGAACCGGCACCCCCATCTCCAGAGCCTCCAACCTCAGAGACAACAGCAAAACCTCTAGGTCCAGCAGGACCTCCTACAGAAACAACTCCAGTAGCAGAGTCACCAACTCCAGCGCCTCCTGCAGCAGGGGCCCTAGCTCCAGCAGCGCGACCCTGACGGCTAACTTACCACTCACGCAGCTGCTCTGAGGAGAGAGGGACAGTGCCGGCTCCAGTGCCTCTAACACCAGCGCTCCCCGCAGTAGGGCCCCCAGCTCCAGCAGCTCACCCTGACGGCCAATGTACCACTCACGTAGCTGCTGTGGGGAGAGAGGAAGACGACGACGAGAGTGTAGCGGCGAGGCACCAGCAGAGCGACTACGGAGACGGCCGCTCCAGGGAGACTGCTCACCTGACTCCGCACCGCCCCCAGGTGCAGCACCCTGACACTCAGCGGCTCAGCACCCCCAGACTCCTCACGCCCAGGCTCAGCACCTCCAGACTCCGCACCCTCAGGACCAGCACCGCCAGGCTCCGCACCCCCGGGCTCCGCACCCCCAGGCTCAGCACCCCCTGAAGCAACACCCCGAGCAGGACCACCCTCAGCAGGACCTGAGTCACCAGTGACCTCAACCGGCGCAG